GCGGGGAGAGGGGGCGAGCGAGCGAGCGAGCGGGGCGCAGGGGTGAGGATTTCCTAGGGGCTGAGCGGTGCGGGCAGCTCCGTGAGAAAGGCGGGTGAGTGCTAGGGGAGCGCGGGGGCGGGGACAATGGGAAGAAGGGCTGTATGGCGGGGGTGGGGGGAACAATGGGGTGGGGGAATGGGGGCAGCGGCCGAGCGGGGCAGAGGGAGGGCACGGAGATGAGGGCTGATGTAATGGGAGAGAGAGACGGTGGGAGGGATTGGGGTGTGATGGGATAGTTGGGGAGTCCGGCGGGCGGGAGGGCCATAGGAAGCGTGGTGGGGGGTACCTGGGAGTGGTGAGAAGGGGCAGACGTTGGGTAATAGGATGGAGCAGGTGTTGGGAATATAGGATAATTGGGAGTAAGAAGAGAAGGTGGGCAGGGTTTGGGGTGACAGGATGGGGGCAGGGGTAGAGGAGGTGCGGTGGGGGTGAAGAGCTAGTTGGGAGGAAAGGGAGGTTGGGAGGGGCCGGGGCAAGGGGAAGACTGTCTAGTCCAGATTCGGTCCGCGCGGGGCTTTGGGGGGAGGTGTCAGACTACGTGTTTAGGGGAGGTGTATCCTACCCCAGATCAAGCCAGGGTCTCTCGAGGGGGAGTCCTGAGCTTGGGGGTGCGAGGAGAGGAGGGGGCGGGACTGATGTGGAGGGGGCGGGACTGAGGAGGAGGGGGCGGGGGAGGTGCCCTGAGGTTGGCTCTGGCCGCGGTTCCCCCCGAGCGGCGGGAAGCGAGGTCAGCGCTGGCGCGGGCTCCGGCTGCGGGACTGGGAGGCGGGGCAGGGGCGCAGGCTGCAGGTTTTCCGTGGCGGCAGCGGGAGGGGTCGGGCCCTGGAGGCCGGGCTGGGTGGGGGTTGCGCAGGGGAGGTGTTGGGGTCTCCGGCGGTCCGTGGGTTTGGCAGTCTGTGACGCAGTTGTCTAATTTCTGGTCGTCAGGTGTGGAGACTGGTGCCTTGGGACCCGCTTCCCTTGTGGGGAGGGCCAGACCACAGGCCCGGCGCAGCGCCCGCGGGGCGCGACCTCTCCCAGGCTTGCAGGGAGGGAGCTTTAGGGGTTTCCTTTAGGGTCCGGCTCCAGCCGCCGGGTGTTAAGGGGAAAGGCGGTCCCGCGGAATTCTGGGACGTGTAGTCCGGGCCGCGGTTGGATTGGGTGCACGTGGGTAACTGTGGAAACGAGTCCCAGAATGCAGCGCGCCCCTCGGAGCCTCCCTGCTCTGCTAACTCGTGCTTTATTCCCGGAGGATCTGGGCCCGCACT